CAAGGAAAACATTTCAATTGTAGGAAATAGTTTATCACTAGCATTCTTGCATTCTTTTTTCAGCCTAACATGTGACAGATAAAGACTAATGTGGATGAGACAGCTGACACTGAGGAGAGAAATGTTTAAAGTCTTTTGGCCAGATGTAAGATACTTACATCAATAAAACTGGAGGTGATGGTGCAATGAATTGGCCCTGAACTAGCTGTGAATTTAATTTTTTTCTTTTTTCGCGGTTTAGAGATTTGGAAGGGGTAAGTTGCCTTGCCAGTTACTAAACAGCACAAAGGCAATGTTGTTCCGAGTGCAAACTGAATAACTTAATGAGGAAAAAGTTTGTATTAAAATGAGATATATGTCAGTTAGTCTTAAATTCTGTCCCCTGTTATATTAATGACACCTAACGGACCGCATCTGCAGCTTACATGAACATATTCCACCTCTCATAGTTTGATAGAAATGCATGTAATCAGAGCAGCAGTAAATTTTCGCTTTGTCTGTCAGGGTGTTCATATTTTGTAACTGAGGCCGAAACATAGTTAGAAAAGTTGCGTTTTGCCTTGAAGGATGAGAAGACATAAATAAAAAGAGATTCAGTATATTTTTGTCTTCTTTTGAGTCTTGAAATGAATTGATCTCTGATACAGTACTCCAGAAATGTGTCTCTTTCCATGGCGATTCTATTTTTTATGCAATAAATATGGGATAAGTAATAAATAGGGCTGACTCCTAGTAAATTTGTTTAAATAATGTTTATGACATCGATACGAGGCCAAAACTGTCTATTTGCTGTCCAGTCCCCTATTGGGGATATAATTCACAGGCAGAGACCATGCTAGCAAAGGAGATACCATAAACAGAGTAAAAATATTGACATTTAAGAGGTGTATGATTTAAGCGAGGGCACGATACCTGGGATTTACGGGACACGGTGGCAGGGCTAGGTGTGCTGGAAGGGGCTCGGCGCTGCTGTGCTGGGCGCCGTGGCACCTGGGCTCCTGGTGGTGGTCCCGGCTCCATTCCCAGCCTCCCTGGCCTGAAGGAGGCAGGCGAATGGGTTGAGACTGCTGTAATGTCTCCCCACCAGTGCCTGATATAGAAATGCTTGCCGTATTTTGGAGTAGGAGCTGGAATTGGGTCGGGGTGGGTTAGCGGTTGGGTGACTGTAGGCATGAGTGGTAATAAAACCTCCACACGTGCATAGCTAGTAGAGAAATTTATAAATGGACCTTGGGAAAACCGAGATGTCTCAGACTGAAACAGCTTCCTTGGAGATGATGTTGAGTGTAAGAGTGAAAAATCTCAGTATGGGACTTACTTGTCTCACTGACAGTTCTTGTGTCCATGCTACATTGCAGGCTAGCCTAGCGTCTGCTCTTGCACCCAGGCAGGGATAGATTTGATTCAAAGCTGTTCTTTGTGCCCTGCATTTTAAAACCTAGAAGTTTGGATTTTGTTGGTAGTATAATGGCTTTTCTTTTCATTTGTTCCCCTTCTAGTTTACTCTCAAGACTTTGAAAATACAATACACATGGCACAGATCATAACAGTTTTTCAGGCACTTTTAATTCTGCTACTTCGTGATTACATCTCAGCTGAAGATGGTGAAACAAGAGCAAGTAAGTCATAGTGTTTCTATTTCAGATAAGGGTAATTTTAAAGCATGCTTTGAAATTGTAGTGTCCATTTTCATGTCCACATGTATACTGCTTTCTCTGCTTAATTTTTTTCCAGTATAATTGTACTGGTGAAAAGTCTATGATGCAGGAGTAACTTCAATATCTTATTTCTCCTTCAGGAAGGGAATATCTTAGTTTCTTTTAGGAGACTGACCTGATCACATTCTCTTGGAAACGTCCAAGGGAGCAGATGGAACTATAAAGCTCCAATCCTGATTTAAAGTTGTGTCTTGATTACTTATCTTGTCTTTTCTTTGGAAGTCACGTATTTTGAATAGCTTAAGTATACATACGGAAGTCAGGACAAAGCAGAGCTCTCCTTTCTGTTGCAGAGCTCTCCTTTCTGTTGCAGAGCTGCAGGCTTTAACAAAACCGAATGTATGGCAGTACATAGCCAAACCCCTGACCCCACGTGCCAATGGATCAAGTTGACCTCTTCTGTTGGTGGCCATCTCACCAGCACCATGTGTGCCAGTTATCTACGCCCCTTCTAGAGTCAATGGAAAGTGACTTGCACCTCTGGAGAGGTATTCCCTCCATCCAAGGATGTGCATGTGAAGTGGAAAGGACCGTCTTCTAGAACTGCTTGTGTCTTCCGTTGGCTGTAGTTGTCAATTTAGTCTAAAAACTCAATTTTTAGGTGGCTGCAGTTAGGTGAGCTGAATCCATGCCTGTGTCATCATGCAGTTCTCTCTGAGGAGGATGCATTACGTTTGTGAGATGATTACACGATCCTTTATTTCAGCTATTGAGCTCATTCACTGAGCATTTTTCTTCTGCTGAAAACAGACTATACCACCAGCAACATTCAACTGAAACTCATGACTTTATTATAACTAGTTCTGTACATGCAGTGTAGCAGTCAGAAGTCCATTAAAATATATTTGTAGAAGGAGTGAATATTACTGCTGAATTCTGGATCATTCAGCTTATGACCTTCCTCTTCAGTGTGCTTGGTTTGCTAACAAAAACAAGTTTTATGCTTATCATCTCTGCAGACAAATAGACATATGGAAAAAACAAAAATGTATTCCTGTCTGCTGCTTGCATGAAATGTAATTGCCAATTAAAGAATGGAATTTCAGAATTTTTCACAGTTGTTCCTGGTGATAATGTAAAAAACAGAAAATGGCATGGTTTTCAGATACCGAGTTGAAGCCGTGTGGCTTGGTGAAACAATCTTGTTTTTGCTGGTAAACTCAACTGATTTTCTTTTAACGGAATGTACAATGTATTTGTAGATATGGCTCTAACACAATCAGTAATTGATAAGAAAAACAATTGCCTGTAGTGGAGGAGTTCATTAAAATAAAGGTTTTATTTGTGTTTTTTAGGTTGCAGAACTGCTCCAGCGGATTTAGTGTTTATCCTAGATGGCTCTTACAGTGTTGGTCCAGAAAACTTTGAAATAATCAAAAGATGGCTTGTCAATATTACACGAAATTTTGACATCGGGCCAAAGTTTATTCAAGTTGGAGTTGTCCAGTATAGTGATTACCCTGTACTTGAAATTCCTCTAGGAACTCATGAATCCACTGAAAATCTAATCAGGGAAATGGAATCCATACATTACTTAGGAGGAAATACGAAAACAGGAAGAGCTATTCAGTTTGCCTATGACCATCTTTTTGCAAAATCCTCAAGATTTTTAACAAAAATAGCAGTTGTTCTCACTGATGGAAAGTCTCAAGATGAAGTCAAAGATGTAGCAGCAGATGCAAGGAAAAATAAAATCACTTTATTTGCTATTGGTGTTGGCTCAGAAATTGAGGAGGATGAACTTAAAGCTATCGCCAACAAGCCTTCATCAACTTACGTATTCTATGTTGAGGATTACATTGCAATATCAAGAATTAAAGAAGTTATAAAGCAGAAACTCTGTGAAGGTAAGTGAATGATCTTTCTAAAATATTTTAGAAAGTTTGCAGCATATAGTGCTGTACCCGTATTTCATTATTTCACAATAATGTTGGTTAATGTAACCTAAGGCACTTGGTAAGTTTTACTATGATTATGTCTTGATTTTGATCTTCTTTGTGGGAATCTCCCCAAAATGTTTGTTTCTCTGTTAAACAAAGAGGTATATTATTTGGGAAAGATATGGCATGTCAACACAGTATGTGTTTAATTTCAGTATGTGGAAGTTTGTCCTAAGTCCCAATTTTTTACGTTAATAAAGTTTAGAAACTGGAAACAGTTGAGCAGTTCTCGTAGTGCTGAGAATACAGGACTTTCTTTAGCCCTTTTCCCAGGTACAGCTGATACTCATGCACAATAAAATACAGTTTGTCAAATCTTCTTGACAGTTGGGAGGGTAGCCTATCATTATACGCAGAAGTTCTTCCACTCATATGTGTTGAAAAACCCGGAAGAGAGGCTCCTGGCAAAAGTGCCTGAAATTATAACAAGCTGTTGTGATCTTTTTTAAAAGAATGTTTATCGAAGAATTAGCCAAGACCAACATTGTAAGCTTGACTTTTTAATTTTAGAAAGCTAATAGCATTACTGCATTGAATTTTTTGATAACTTTGTAAAGCAATGACTTTCCTATCTAAAAAAAAACTTAGCAAAGTGCTTCTAAAATATATCATTCAGAAGGACTCTGTCAGACAGTGAATATGTACGTATCAGTGTTATCTTGTACCTGTTTTATTACCAAGAAATGATGCAAGTCATATTTCAGTTGTACCCTATTTCTGCACTTGAAAGAGTGAAAAATAGTTTTCATTTATTCTCGCTTTGAGCGTGGACTTCATCGAAAAAATATTGTGATATTTATGTTGAGGTTAATAGTGTTTATTTCTTGATAAACTTAACAAAAATCGTAATAATTCCTTATAAGTGATGTAGTAATGTGAAGCCAATCCAAAAATGAAATCAGTTAAATGCAGTTGAGTTCTTTAATAAAATCACAGGCAGGGAGAAATTTCCCAAAGTAAGCACAGTAATTTCTTTAAATAAAGTTTAGAAGAAGTGACATCATATTTCATCAAGATGGATTTCTTACTTTCAGAATAAAGCTAACAAGAATCCCTTAAAATTCAGCTGCCGTATTTGACTCAACCCTTCTAGTGGTAAACTGTGAAGGCTGAGGACATATACAAAATAGTGTTTCTTTTTATTTATTTTAAATGTACTTACTGTTTTGCTTTAAGTGGCTTCCACCCTCTTACGTCCTGCTCTTTCCTAGCGTTAGCATTTTGAGATGCCTTTCTCAAAGAACAGTCAGAGCCAACTGGCAGCCTGGTTTCTAACTGCAGTGTCTTTAACAGGTGAAGACTCAAAAGACTAGCAAACTGGAAATTTTATATCTGAGTGATGAATTATTTTATGCACTTTGTTAAATTTCATTTTGACTTGGAAGAGGAAGTTCCATAAGGACAAAGCACCAATGAATTGGCCATGATCGACCGTATTAAACTTCTGAAGGTTTTGTAATTGTGTCTTGGTCACACTTGTCTTAGGGTATAAAAAAACCATGCGAGCCTTTACTCTTTGGTGTTTTTAAGTTTGTAATTTAATTAACATACATGTAAGAGCATAGTGGAGGTATTCCATTTTAGAAGAAGGAGGCTGAGATTGGGTGGCTCGTGCAGGAGCTAGTACTGTTGTGGAAGGCCTTGCAGCTGGAGGGCCGTCGTTTGTCTTTTGGGGAATGCTGTTGATTATTTTAGAGTATGGCAGCATGAAAAAAAGCTGGTTAACCTATGGAGAAAGGACAGTCGTGTCTGAAAGAATAAAGTGTCTAAAAGAGTACCCAGATATTTACATTTTTTAATTCTTGCTGTCTAAGGTTTCTACAGCATTGATGTTCTGTAGTAAAAAGATAGAGAAAAGTTGTATGTCAGGAATGCATTTAGAAGCAGTAGTCAGTGTAGAACTCAGAAGGAAACATATGAAGAAGATTTCGAGAAAAATTAATTTGCATTAGATAATGGGATTTCATATCAGCATTCCGTAAGGAAAAATAAAGTATAAAAAACCTATTAAAAATACTAAAAAGAAACAAGACGTCAATATAGAGGTTTGCTGTGGTTGATAATGTTGACTGGAAACTTAACCCTATTTCCAGTGGAAGCCAGTTCTGAATTTTGCCACTGACGTCTGCATCTTGTACAGTGGCTTAGATAGTTATTATCAGAATAGTCCTGCCAGAAGATGGTCCAGGAGCCCCAAAGGAGCTTTACCTTACGCTGAATCTTTTTATGTAATTCTTCAGTGCACCCGTTGAAGTAAAGAGTTTCTTCATGTATAATTTTACTCGTGCTTATTTGTATTATGTTAGCTTGGGACAGTCACTTTGACATTAATCCAGAATAATACCCCTCTCACCTCGAGTGATCCTATTTCTGCAATTTATGTTTTGATGTTGTACTGAATTTCTAATACTGTAACTGAAGAGAAATTCTTGCCTTGACTCTCAAGGTACATGAATATCTTTAATTCATCTTAGTGGCAACAGGACCATTACCCAGCTTTGAAATAAATGACTTTAGAAAATATTCTCCTGATACTGTTGCATGTGCCTTTTATTATTTACTTTCAAGAAACCTGAAAAAATAAAGCATTAACATTCTTACTTAACACCAGAAGTATGTTGACTTAAATCCTGTGTCTGTGTTTTGATATGAGTAAGAGGAACAGTTACACTGAGCTTTGTGTTTTCTTATGTATTTGCAGCATTCAGAAGGTAGATATTTTATTTTGCATAACGTAGACAGGGCAAGTTCTTGCGAGTCTTTTCTTGTAGAACCGGACAGGTGATTTGCAATATCTTTTTAATTTGGGAGTCAGATGACACTTTTTGAGGAGAGGAAAAGGAAACCATAGGTGAAGACCCAGTGGAAGGCACTCTCTCTGTTTCTCAAAAGCAAGTTGCAAAAATAAGATTAAAGATTTTTATCTTCCTGCTTCCCACACTTTATGAGTATAATGGCCCTAAGTTCAGCGTATCTCCTTTAGTAAATATGGGCAGTGTGTATTTTTGGCACACTTCTCATCTTGTATGTCCTTAAGAATCTGGAGTCCAAAAAAGTTGGAGTTTCTTTTATCCGGGACAGAAACTTCTTGCTGCTGCCCCAGGTACCTGTGACATATCTCCTGGGGATGGGCTGCCCATTGCCACCACAGACAGTTTGGGCAGAGATTTAGTCGAGTTTTCTCTGAGTTGGTGTATCCTACCTCCCCTCGCCAGAATAGGGGTAGCTTCTGACTGTCGCTGGCTTGGCTACAAAGGGAAGAGGGGCAGCGTTGCACATTTAACACAGAGAAGTTAATTAGACCGTCCTTGATAATTCCCTGGCACAGAAATGTGAGTTTTCCAGCCGGTGGCTGGTCTGCATGGAGATGGGAGAACCCTCCACCACCCCTTCTGTGGATCTATGCCGAACCTTTTCCTCTCTGTGAGCTGAGACTTTTCTGTAGGAACAGTGGAGAATGAATGATGGAAATGTATTTACTGTAAATAGTTTACATAATTTTAACAAAATGAAATAAAAGTTGTTTACTTTCTTTTCGTTGATTTATTACTCTAATATAATGTTGGCTTTAGCATTAAGTTTCATTCTCTATCACCCTTTTTTTTTTTTCTTGGGAGGAATTTAGGTCCACTGCCTAATATTGTTTTTGTGTAAAAGGAATTGAACAGAGATAACGTTCAGCCAACTTTACTTTCCACAGAAAATACATCATACGATATTTGTCCAGTGTGGATAGCTTGAAGTGGATTACAGTATAACAGACAAAATAGATTAGAGTCCATCTTGAGTGAAAGAGGATAGAAAAAAAAAGTTGTAAATAATTTCATCTTTTCTCTCTTTCAGTCTGATTTCGTAGTTGGGAGGCTGAATTAAACCAAATCGTTAGTGCATCAAGGAAATTTAACAGCTACAGTTTTGTAGCATTTTGAGACTGTGCTTGTTTAGAAATTCAAGCCCGTATTTTATATTGTAATACTTTTTTACTACAGTTAGCAACAATTCAAAGTAGTATGTAAATCTAATTGCAGAAAAACACAACATCTCAATATTCTCGCTTCACATCTGTTAAGGGTTCTGCATGTTCCTTCTCTTGCTGAACTTAACTGGCACTTCTTAATTCTTTCTTACCTCTTAAAAGTCAGCTACAAAAAATTAGGCATGTGGGGGTTACTTTTTTGAAAGTTTTAACTGTATTTTGAACTACACTTGCATTTATTGCTTTGCAGAGTCTGTATGTCCAACAAGAATTCCAGTGGCAGCTCGAGATGAAAAAGGATTTGACATTCTGCTAGGATTAGGTGTAAAGAAAAAGGTTAAAAAGAGAATTCAAATACCAACTACTAATGCAAAAGCTTATGAAGTAACCTCACGTGTTGACCTGTCAGAATTGACAAGGTATTTAACTTTATAAATACAGTTCTAATTTTGGTAAAATTTGTGTTGTGTGATAGACTCGTTTTAAGATCTGTACAAATGTACATCTGTTGTCTTTTTTTTTTTTTTCTCCTCCTTTTAGGAATGTATTTCCAGAAGGTCTGCCTCCATCTTATGTATTTGTTTCCACTCAAAGATTTAAAGTAAAAAAGACGTGGGACTTGTGGAGAATTCTAAGTCTGGATAAGAGACCGCAGATAGCAGTCACTGTTAATGGAGAAGAGAAAACGCTGTCATTCACGACAACAAGTTTAATAAATGGAACACAGGTTATTACTTTTGCTGCGCCTCGTGTGAAGGTAAGGAATAGGTCAACATCCTGCTGGATTACTTGTACGCGTTTTTCCTTTGCCCTTTGTGTTTTTCAAGAATGTATGATCTCATTCTTGGCTGCTTAGGCATTTTAAAATAGATTTAGGGTACCTTAACCATTTTTCCTGAGTGTCCACAAAGTTCATCCATGTCAATGCCTTGCAGGTGCTGTTGATTCGGCATTTTCCAGCAGGTAATTGTGATGATGACCTAGAACTTTTTGCACACAGCGCATTTCTCAACATATGCGTTAGCCAAAAACTATGTTCTGCCTTTGAGAGAGAGAGAGACCAGAAAATGTGAATCAAAATATTCCATGTTTAGAGAGAGTTTTTATATTATCTATTCCTTAAAAATATATAAAAGGAAAAAAATACATAATGAAAGAAGAAGTTACTTTCTTTGGAAGAGAAGTTAGCAGCTTACAAGAGTTCAGTCTAGATTTGTCCAGTTCTTGGCTGAACAGAAATTCCTTTCAGCTCGTTATTTTTCTCAGCCCATCTCCACTGAAGGAGGGCTTCCCTTGTTTGTCCAAACCATTTTTGTTTTCTCAGAGTGTAATCTGAAAGTTCCCTTTCTATCCTTTTTTCAGGAATTTTCGGTGAAGTATTCAACTCTGTAAGAAAGATTGTCTCCCTTATGGGGGAGACACAGAGGGAAGGGGAAGGAATGTCCCTACACTTGTATGTGTAGCAGCAGCACGGGAATACAGCAGCATAGGAATGCAGAGCCTGGAGATTCCCGTCCCTACCTTAGGCAGTATTTTTTTAAGTGAAGTTAAGAGGCACACTTCCAACAAAAAAAGTATGAGAAAAATTTATCCCTAGATTACTTAGTGTCCCGAGTGGTTTCTAGTTTTCTGGGAAGTGATGGCCTGGATTCAAATCCTTCAAATCAGGCTGAAGGAGTTCTAAATACAAGTACCCGGCTGTCCAAGAGAAGGTCTTAATTACTAGGCTTTGGGCAGAGGAGATATTTCCTTCTTCTGTTAGTAAGTGGGGAATTTTACTTTTTCTTTCCAAATTTCCTCTACCTTTAAAACTTATTTTAAGTGATTATTTTTTTTTTTTTGGAAGAAGAAAAGTGTTTAATGTGATTTACTGGAAGTCAGGAGAAATTTCAGTTTCAAGTCAGTCTGAAATTGTTTTGAAATGGTTTTGGCAGCCAAAGTGAAAAATCAGTTTTATTCCTGCAGCCCCAGGTATCCCTGAACTTCAGCCTGCAAAGAAGACTTCATTTTTTCCTGTCCTGTTTCTCCATACTTTGATTTACTATTACTAGGAAGAACAGTAATTCTTTGCCCATTTTAGGGCTGCATGCCTCTAAATACACTGTGAATGTCACTAATGCTTTAATGAACCTCTTTGTCAAACATTTATGATTATTTATCACATCTACTCAGTTAAGAAAATGGAAATGTTTTATATTCTGGTTTGCTGTTTATTTTTGCCTTGTCATGAGGGCCATTGTAAATACATAAAACCCCAGTCTAAAAAGGAAAATAGCACAGAGGCAGAGATGCTGTCCGGGGTGTGTACTAACTAGTAAGGGAGGTGAGATTAATTTGTGATTATGACTACAAAAGGTGACAAAAATGTAAAGTGTTCTGGAAGGTGTATGTTTCAGCTACTCTTAGGTTTACCAACCTAGTGTGGGCTTAATCTCAAATTTAGCTGTATAAAAGATAAGCATCTAGGCTAAACAGCTAGATTGTTTTTTAAATTAATGGATAGGTTCAAAAAGATGGCATTTCTTTCCGTGCTGAATTTCATTTCTGAGGTAGATGAGATGAAAATTTCTCTAATGGTATCCCTCATTCTCTGTTACCTATAGAAGTGTGCTAGGCGGTTTGTTTAGACCAAATCTTAAACTTTTAAATAGCTCAAGTTCTGTGAGATGAATGTAGTGCTTCATTTTTTTTCATTACAGTATTTGTGATTTGTGCTAATATGATGACGACTTTTAAGATTTTTTTGTAACGAGTAAGGTAGAAAGACTTTCTTTTTCACTGTGGTTGAAGGTCTAAAGTGCATGAAACGCTACACCACTGCTGAAAAAGAGGTGTCTGTCTTTATACGTGTCACAGATATAGGTTTCATCATGTTCTAGACTCTAGGCTGCAAAAGTCTGTGCTAGTTCAAAAAAAATCCTGAAATAGTGACTAATTATTAGCAAATATCCTGTTCGCAATTACAGTATTACTTGACTAATACTTTTTTGCCTATACGCTTAAACGTACAGGTTTTTTTGTATGGCAAAGCCAGAAACATTGGTCATCTCTGCCATAAACAGGCGCAGATTAGGAGTTAAAATGAAGTTGTACGGTAGCTTAAATTGAAGATACTTTGTTTCAAGCATTTCTGTTTTCTTTTCTTAGAGTTTGTTTGATGAAGGCTGGCATCAAATTCGTCTCTTAGTAACGGAAGAGTTTGTAACTTTATATATAGACGACCAAGAAATCGAAACGAAGCCATTGCATCCTGTTTTAGGTATTTATATCAGTGGCCTAACCCAAATAGGAAAGTATTCTGGGAAGGAGGAAACTGTACAGGTAAGCATACATTGAAAACACAGTAATTTAAAAATCAGACTAATTCAGAAATTCTGCTGCAGCCTATCGTTTCCATTGGAGCCTTCTGTTTTCCTGAAGTTATTCTTCTAATGTACTGTGGGTGGACACTGAATATATAACATTTTAGTAATTAGCAGGAAAGGAGGAGAGTATCTTTCTCCAGAAAACGGGAGTTGTCAGGAGTGAAGTGCTTAACTGGTCTCACTAACTTCAAGGGGCATCAGTTTGTGCTGTAGCACCAATTTCATGCAACGCGGCCCCCTAAATCTGGGGAGTAGCATCTCAAAGCAGGGGATCAGCTCTGTGCTTGGCACTCGGCATGTCGCTTCCTTGCATCAGGGTAAGGGTTATGCTGGCGCACGAGCGAGAGAACAACATTTTCAAGAAGCTTCTGTCTCATCACTGGCCATCAAGAAAGTACGACACATATAAATTCAGTTTCTGTCATACTGCAAATATTTGGTGTGCCAGCTGGCAGTGTGCGAGTCCGCAGGGCTGGAAGAGACCCTGCAAACGCCGGACTGAGATTCTTATCTCTTCCCGAGCACCTTCAGCTCCCTTTGCCTTCGGCTGTGTGCAGCCACTGATAGGTTGGTAAAATCTTCAGGCTGCTTGGGTAAATGCAAGTGGTAAAGACTATAACATTGACAGTGTGACAGTGACATTTGCTAAATAGATTACTTCCTTGTTTTAATTTCTTTATTTATAGCAATGTTGTAATGGCATTACTAATTAAAGAGTCCTGGAGGCAGTACTGAGAAATACTGAATTACTTTGATAGGCATTATTTTTAGGCATTTTGAAAGCTATGCTTTTTTCATACTCTACTGTTTAATTTTGTAATCCTTACTGCTCCCATTACATTGTGTTAATATGTTTTTCATCATCCTCATTAACTCTCTTCAGCTGTCTTTAGTCAGTTACTCCTGCATTTTGCTTATTTATAGCCAGGCTTCAGTTGTATTGTTATCATATTTTAAAAAAATACACAGAAAACTTGGATGACACGCTCTTTCTGTGACTCAGCATGTCTGGTAGAAATGTAATTAGTACACTAAAACACCTCTTTGCAACAAATAATTAATTATTGTTGCAGATTTCTGGTAGACCTTCAGGCAAGTAGAGATTTCAGAATTACAATGAGCCATCTCATACATTCTTTTCGTCAGTGCGGCATTATCCCATATGCTGCATTGTAGTAGCAGAGTTTTGGGTTGTTTTTTGTTGGTGGTTTCTTTTTTTTTTTTTTCCCTCTCAGGTAGCTACAGAAACGAGACTCTTTTAGATTCCCAGTAATTCCGTTTCTCAGTTAAAGAATGTTATTAGCAAGACATTTCATCTACAATAAAAATGAAAACATTTTAGGAATGTAGAATTGTGAAAGATCCACTTCTGCTAGTGAGCTGGAAGAAAAGTAGAAAATCTACATCAGGGAGCAATTTGGTATTTCCAGATGATTTCTATGATGTAAAAAAGATATTTTCTTTGTTCAGTTTCTCAGACCCTATGACACATGCTGTAAGCCATTAACAGTCAAATTTTGCCAAAATATATCTATTTAAACTATTATTACAGAGAAACATTTTAATGAATCTGTGTAACGCCTTTCAGTGACCAGGTATGTTGAAATCCGTTAAGAAAGAAACCAACTGGAGTCAGATACAAAGAATGCCACAAGAATCAGATTTCACAATAAACTAGAGAAACCAATTTGCAATAAAGAAAAGAAAAAAAAATTCTTCAGAAACTGATGAATTTTTAGTTGTTCTCCTGTGCTGAGGATCAGATGTTTTCCAGCGATAATTTGCAAGTCTTCTCCATGTAGTTAGGACCCTACAGGCTTAAGTGCTTTCCAAGTATAGTGGTGATGGTAAACTTAGGCACCTACTTAAGTTTTGTGACTTACAGCTAAGACATTTTAAAGTTGAGAGCACACATTACTGGGGCTGCTGGTATTGACAGGCTCCACAGGCTGTGTCTTCCCTTCACCCCTTCCATTAGTGAAGCTGATGTCCCAAGATTTCCCATAAGAATAACTGGACTTTCTTCTCCTCTCAGTCATGATAGTCTCATCCCAGAAAAACTGACTTCAGCAGAGTTTCATTTTTCTGGTCTACAGTGGCAAACCAGAATGGCACAACTCTTACTGACGTGGTGCCAGTGTTTTTATTAGCTGCTTTTCAAAATGTTATGTTTTACATCTGAACGCTAAGGCAGATCCTTTCATGCATCAGGGATGCTTTTTGTTGCCTCATCAAAACTTACATCCAGTGCAGACTGGTTGGTATAGCAACATCTTCCCAGGACTATTCAGATGTTTAGGTTTCGCCCATGGGGTTGTAGCTGTCTCCTAACGATATTGGCAGCCAGTGTTATTTGTGCTATGCATTCTTTGATTTATTGTCAAGGATTAGAGGCAGAAATTTCCGTTATTTCAGAAAACAAAATCTCGGATTGATTACTTTCCTTTAAATAATTTTGTTACAGACTGTGTAATTTATTGCACGTATGAATCATTGTGAGTAGCATGAGTAAAAATGTTTTGACATCTTTTAATTGCTTGTTAACTGTACTAGACTTGCAGAGCTTCCAGTTGCTGCTGCATTGTAATTTTTGTTCATTTTCTTTATGTCTGTGGATGGCATGATTTAAGAAGGATATAGTTTAAATTTACTTCACGTTAGACTTCTAACACTTTTTTTAAAAAAGTCTTTTATGATTTGAATTATAGTTTGATTTACAAAAACTGCGGATCTACTGTGACCCAGAGCAAAATAACCGAGAAACAGTCTGTGAGATCCCCGGATTTGTGAGTATGATAGATGAACTTTTGAGGATTACTCGGCTTTTTTCCCAAATCACTGTTTAAAGCTAGCTTAGTAATGGATTCTTAAAATACATAGCACTACATTGATTCAGCTGCTGCAGACAAATGCTTGTTACCTATGCAGAATCATTCAAGTGACATAGAACTTGTCTGTTCTTGGCCTTATTTTTGCACAAATGTATTTTTAAATAATGTTTTTTTCCTGTCATATGTAGCATAGTAGGCTTTAATGTAAATTTAGATATTTGATGGTGCAAATTTGACAACACTATAGAGGAATCTCAGAATCTTATGTCACAAATTTAGGACTTCATGACTTTATGACTAAATAAAACAACTAGGTTATTACAATATAAAATACTTTAAATATTTTTTCATTTATCTAATATACTCACCAGTATATTGATACTCACTAGGAGGTCGTTTAATCTCAGGGTTTTTTCTGTGTAACCAACAGAACTATTTTTTAAATTATGTTTTCCTATCATAAGTACCTATGCTGAGGTCTGTGTTAAAACTCTCATTGACTGAAATGATGCCAAGACTTCATAAAATATGTTTTGGATAATACAAAACTGAAATCCAGTCCAGCTCATGTGCATAAATAGGAAGCTTAAGGGGCTGCTTTGGCCGTCTCCTTGCCCTTTTATTTAGCGTTAATTATGCAATGAAATGTAAAACACATGTGAACAGATTTTCAAAAGCATCCAACTCCCTTTTCAAAATATAAGCAAGGGATTGTTTTATATATACAGTTTCCTTGAAAATGCCTTCCTTTATGCGGTGTCTGGAAAGAATGGCACTAAAGATAATCAGACACCAGTGTCTTCATATGGAAAAGCATGTTTTGATTTGGTATAGTATTAGGATGACTTTGCCAGCTTGACAGCAGACCTTTGCCCGACTCTCACGTCGACCCACAGCCAGTCTGTTCTGCTCCTACTTGATGCGGGCCGGTTTGTCTATGGTAATAGCCTCCGTACAGTGTAGCACCCACATTAAGAGCTACTTTTTTCAAAACTTGGAGCTTTCATTTGAGCAGCAAGGACGTGGCTAGCTTCTTGGCTGTCGTGAGGTCTGCCTGTGTGTGTCCAGGACCTCATGGGTGCGGGAGCACTTGGGTAAAGTTAGCTTTACTTCCTGAAGTAAACTCAGTATTTGGCTATTTAACTGCACCACATATCTTCTTGCTCTTGACGAAATAGGAGTAGGATACGGAGGGTAAACAACTGAAACACATTTTGGGGTATAGAAAGGAAACAGTTGAAAACCCATCCTATTTTGCGTTCTCTGCAATTTGGCAAGAAATCAGAGCAAAAAGCTTGATTGTTGCCAGTTCAGTTTCACTTGCTGTTATAAATTAATTTTGGAGTTCACCCATGAAAAGTCTGGACTCCTACAGAAAATAAATATGTCGGATGGTCTCCGGGGAGGTAATGAAACAGCAAGGTATATGTGCTTTGTGGTTGTATTCTGTTGGATTGTGTTTGTGTCAGAGTTTTTCTAAACCAAGTAGGGCCCGTATGTACTAGCTGGGGCCTGAATTAATCCCCACTACCTGGGGTACCTGGGTGCATAGTCGTTTTAAGCTCCCTGTACAAAGGATGGAGAAAAATAGCCTTCTCTAGAGGTTGCCTAAGATGTCAATTGAGTATGGAGGAACCTGTCTCTCTCCACTGGCTGTGTATGAAGTCTGTGGTGACTGTTTGCACCAGAAACCTCCTGTACATGGTGCAGGTAATGCTGGTTAGTAAAAGATTGCGTAAGACAATTTCAAGGTTGGCGTGCTGAAATATGTGGGGGCGCATTGTTCTACAATATTGCAGGTACCAGGAACCTTGCTTCAGTTTATAGCAGTCTTATGCAGTCGCGCAGGAAAGTGAGGAAAAAGCCAACCTTGCCTCTGTGTTGCCATCTATTTTCCTGGATGCTGGATTCAGGCTGAGATCAGAAAGTTTTGTAATATTTAGATCATTTTCATCCTTTCTGTCCTGTCATATGATACGCACTTGGACGTGAATGAATAAGCTGAAGATTTTTTTTTTATGAGAAAGTACTCCTGGCAAAAACCTTGACACAAATCTAAACATTTAGTGCATAAATACTTACATCATTCAGTTTTAATTTTAGTCTTGTCATTTCCTTTTAAAAGTTGCTACGGGTCGCTCCTGTTGAAAAACCCTTACATGATACTAAAATTCACTGGCCCAATAGCAACTGCACATAAATTTGAGAAAGTGTGAAATTTTGAATTATAATTGCTTGACAGTTACAGCCCCAAATTTATGAGTGATTTTGGTAGCATACACAAATGAATGGACTTTGTTTATTACAAATATTTCTATGTTCTTAAACTGTGTTTCTTCTTGTTTCAGAATGGAGAGGTAGGCTCAATCCTAAACTGCTCAAACTCAGTTTAAGGTAGTATTTGACTTTATATAAACTTGTTATTATAGGGAACATATGCTGCGTTTTGAAAAATGGACAGAGGTTTGCTAAACTTAAAAATACTAGAATACCATTAATGGAATGCTAGTCAATAGACAAATTCAAAACCAGTTTTCTGAAGAAACCCATGTTTGTTAGATTAAATGGCTTCTTTTTTGTCCCCCCAGTTCAATTCAGTTGCTCTTATTTGCAGGGCTGGATGCTGTTGCAAAGTGAATGGGGATATACACGGTCAGGTACCTGTTCCTGCACCGTGTGAATTGGAGCTCTCTGAATGGGAGCTAATATGAAAGCTTAATATAGTTGCCTTAGCCACCCTGGTTACTCCACTCACGTTTGGTGCTGTTGGAAAGAAAACATGGATTTGTATTTTGAACACTCATTTGATCCTGAGAAAGCATTGAATTCCGAGAACATTGTACAACGTCTGCATTATTATAGAAAGTCTGAGTAAGAATTTGATAATAAGTACAAAATCTCTTCTGTAGCCTGGATTCTTAAATTTTTGCCTTCACATAGCTCTAAGAACTTACTTACTTTTGAAAGAGGATTCAGTGAATCCAACTTTGGCATATAAATTCAGTCCAGATGCATCTAAATTTTGGGTGCCTGGCCCTCGGCAAAAGGACTTAGTCCCCTGCCCTTAGTAGTTTTCTCCTCTGCGTCTCCCTGCCGCACCCACAGACCTTGGTAAAACACCCAGGTTTCTGGTGATGTCAACGGAGGAAAGAAGATCCTTCAAAAAAAAAAAAAAACCTGTAGAGAGTGACACAGTGTGCCAAGTTTTTTTGCTTATCGCCGTTTGCTGGGGACGGTAGTCTGAAGTCAGGTCAGGTAATGCTCTTTGGAGGAGAGGCAGCTCTCCTGGGCCGAGGCTGGGACTGGTGGGAGCATGCGGGAGTGGCAGCCATGCCCCATCGTTTCTCAGGTAGCTCCGTAGCTGGGACACGTACGTGTCCAGGAGGTGGGGCAGCTGGGCTGTGCGTTCTTTTCAGACTTGTCACGCGTGATAACATGCTAATCTCACTATCAGTTGTGGTCAGTTTGCTCTGAGTAACAGTTATTAGGCTCTTTTTAAAAGTTTTAAATAGTGATATTTGTGTTATTGATCACCCTTCAAATGATGACTGTCCATTAGTTTAGGAGAACTGTTTTGCATGTTGGCAGATTGAAAATTGTCAGTCAAAGTATTTGACAAAATATGTGTGGAAGAGCAAAGCCCGTTTCAGAAATCAGCCCAGTCGAGTTACCTAATTATTTACGTATTTTTCTTCTGGGTAGAGAGATGAATTCATGCATGCACAGATGTTGGGGGGGCGATAAAGCAGAAGTTCCAACAGAACAAGTGCGTGAAAGTCAGGACCTGTGCAGCCTAAGGAAGATCAGCTGGGTATAATGTTGTGTTTGCTGAACGTTTTTGGCATGTGAATTGATGGTCGGTCTCACTCTTGGTAGTGCATGAATGGTCCTAGTGATGTAGGCTCAACGCCTGCCCCCTGCATATGCCCGCCAGGAAAACAAGGACCTCCAGGCCCCAAAGTAAGTTTGCAATCTTTCTTATTGAAGGTATAGTGCTTTTATTGTTCTTCAAGTGTTATGCTGTCAGCCATAGTCATGTGGGTTAAAAAACTAGGGGACTATTTCTGCCTCCATTAAATGCAGTGGGTCGGAATAGTGGTTAGTATCCTTAAAGGCCAGGTGTTGGTGCCAGAGGATAAAAAAACCCCATCTTTTAGCTTTTAAAGAAACTGCTCGTTAATGTAATGCTGTTACATGTATACAATGTAAAATTGTGTTTCCATGTAATTATTCAGCAAATGATCCTGCAGTGTTTGCTTGATAATGAATAGTGGCTTGATAGTGTTTGCTAATAAATTAGTCAGTCTTTTAATGGAGATTTTTTTTCTGTGTTTAATAATAGAATAAATGCTTACTGAGGGATTTCCACCCTGGGCTGATCTGATTTTTATGACCTCTCTTCAGTGTTGGTGAAGGTTTAAAAGACTAAAATGACAACTAGACTTGGGTGTCAGATCTCTCATGTGGCTCACTCAAATCCCTAGTATTTTACCATAGTACTTACTCTAAGCAGTGCTGTCCACAATTGCTAGCGTTCTTTGTAAAGGCTGATAAGAAAACTCCAACTGCTTATCTTTCATTAAAGAAATGATTGCCAAAAAAAAAAAAAAAAAGGAAAACCAACCTAGTAATATAATGTTCAGCAATTTTGCTGCAGCTATCTCTGGTTAAAGGGCTTTTTGCTGTACAGGTCTGTCTAATCAGGGAATTGGAAACCAAATGATGGAGACCATTATTATTTCATGTAGTGGAATTCTGGACTTTTTAAAACCCTTTTTTTCTTCTTTAGCACATCAGAAAAAAAAAGAGAGTGATGGAGAAGAAAATCCTCATAAAAATATTCTACAGCCCCCAGCTTGTAAAGCATGAAAGATTAGGAAATGTCAGAATTGAAGTGATCTATACAATTTAAACTAGATCCCTGCTTACTAAGCAATCTTTCAGTTGCATTGCAGTGTAATGTTTGTTTTGGGCTTACTGAATAAGACAGGTGACAAAATAGTGCCTAAGTAAAGAGACTGCAGAAAGAGTAAAAAGGGAGCAAATTTAAGATTGCATAGGTTATCTTAGTTACAGAATATGTTAACTTCTATATAATGGACTTTGCAACCATATGCATTTAAACTTAATTTGTGTGTTTATGATATTGATGCAGTACAATAAAATTCATTCAATTAAAGCAATTTAAAAATACAAGTAGTTGTTTTTTTAAACTAACCTTTTAAAGTCACGGGCTATAACACTGCATAGTTTAGATACTGGGTATTTAAAAGCAAATTTAGTTTCACTCATATCAAAGCTGGACTTCCTAATTTGGATATTTGTAACTCTAGACAACTTGCTATTAATTTAGCAAATTATAACTGCTTATGCTCTGTGACTCTCGTAAAGAGACATTATTCTGTGTACTTTCCCATTTCACTCATCATTACATATCTGTGGTTTATATGTGAAAAGATGTTTTTCACAGTCTACCCGAAAAGCTAGTCTGGTGTTTCCCCTCTAATGTCTTCCCCATCTGTCACAATGCTGAAGCTGTAACTGGGCTGAGAGTCTGGTAATGGTCAGGCTGAAGAAAGCTGTACAGGCTTAAAGCTCCTGTAGGAGAAGAAAGCTTTTATGAGTCAAGTCTTTCTGGATTTTGTTGGGCCCAAAGCAAGTCCTTGGTAAAATAAATAAGAGCGGTCGTAAATACCCTAAAAGGAGATATGTTGAATAGGAAGTTATGTTCTTATCATACACATGGTTTCTGGGGAACTGAGTTTTGTTCTCCTTTAGTGTGGTCGTAACAAAGGTTGTCAAAATAATTGCAAAGTCCTTCCTATAAGAATTACAAAGGAATACCTTTTTTTAAAACAGCAATAAATGTGTGGGGAGGTATTTGTTATTAACAGGTTTTAATCCTGACTCTTACTTTCCAGTGTTTTGGCAGTAAGAACTAGGCTCAGCCAAATCCTTGGTAAAGAGATGGCAGTTTTGTTCAGAGGAGAACTGCTAGAGTAACAAGGATTTAATCGAGATTTTTCTCATCTCTTTGATGAAAACTGTTTTTACTTCTCTTGTTGAGGATGCTAAAAAGCTTGAAAGCACATGAGCAAAAGGGCCTGATCTGCGAGTTAACCCTGCGCATGGACCCGTGTCTCCACGTCCTGCGCAAGGAGTTAGGGAGGATTTTCCCAGGGAAGGGTGGCAAGATCAGCTGCTTTTTGCTGTAGGACCAGTAGCAGGTATCTGACTTTGCAGCTACGGTGTTAGAATTAAGGTTTCACTGGGCTAATGTTAAACTGCTTTTTCATATCCTGTGTGTTTTAACATATTATATCTCCATAGGGTGACCCTGGCCAGCCGGGGAATCATGGTTATCCTGGACAGCCTGGTCCAGATGGTAAGCCTGTGAGTACTAAAAACTTAGTCATATATTGTAAATGTAAACTAACAGGAGAAAAGACATGTCATTATTCAAATCAGATTCTCCAATGCAGGTGATTTTGTTCCAAATCTGTGAAACTGTGAACGTTGTTTAAGGTCCATCTAAATGTAACGAGGCTATGAATATGTTAATAACAATATCATTATTTCAATTAAAAATATTGTAAACAAGACAGCATGAGTTTAGGCACTGTTGTAAAGCCGAAAACAGAGCCTGAGTGCTCCTGTTTGTTGTGGTGGCAATTTGCAGAATTTAAGTTGTCACGTTCTGATTTGTGATCCTTACTGCTTTGATATTTTTGGCTGAGGAAGCTGTTTAGGACAGGAAAAATCATGTCTGTTTTGTTTTAGGGATTGCATCTCATGTTTATGCTTGGTTCATTTAATTTCTTTTGGTCTGAGCCCTGTAGCCGTAATCAATAGAAATCTGTAGATATACAATGCTAAACATACAAATATTTTGCAGTTCTACACATCATTATGTGTAAAACATACATCATAAAAGCGTCTGTATTTTTCTCTCACCTGAGATTGTACTTTTCGACCTGGCATTGCATTTGTATGAATGATAAAGACTGGAAGAAAGTAAATGAATAATAGATGTCCCTAACATAAAAATGACAAATTTGGCAATGGCTAGATTGGTCTTTGTGACTAATATTTTTTTTATTATGATAAAATTGTAATAAAATAAATACGTATATAAGAATAGTCTACATTTTCATTTAAAAATATATTAGACTATATATTAGATCTTCAGATCCAATCGGAAACCTCTACGCTGTTGACACCCAGGCTGCTCTGTTGGGCAAGGCTGGATTAAGAGTTTGCAGCCTCTGTGTTCACAAAGCGATGCTGTGTGTGCCTCAGGTGTGCCAAAAGAAGGCAGGCCAGCGGCTGAGAGACTCCCCCATTGATGCTTCTGTTACAGGAATGTGGCACCTGATGTGGCTTACTACTCACTCGTTAGACGGTGTCGTCTGTTAAAAAAAGAAATAGAGTGAAAGACAGCTGGGAGCATTAAAAATTTGCTTCTGAAAAGAGGACAATTTCTCTGCCGGGGACTTTGGTACCAAAAATAGGGAAAGAAAAGTGCCCACACATACTACAAACTGTTAATTTATTGTGGCCTTCTTGTTCTTATTTTGAGGAATGTATTGTACGTTTGAGTCTCTAGAATGGTTTTATCTTACCTAACTTTAGACAGCTAAAAAAAATTAAGTATATTGTGTAAGTGAGTAGCTACATATGTCTCTGCTGACTTATGTGCTTTAGTGTTTGGTTATGATGAATCATTCTCTGGGGATGCTCTGTCCACCCTTTATAAGAGGGATTTGCGTGAGATGACCCAAAACACTAAAAAATTTAAGTGGACATGTGCAGAGAAGACAAAATCCATTAGGAAAGAGATGTTGGATAATGGATGGGGGAACTAACGTTCTATGGTTTTTGGTGAGACTTAGCAGGGTTCACTTATTTTGGGCTATCTTATCGTGCTTGACAAACTGGACAGACTTCAGAGAAGGGCAGCAAAGAGTTAGATTGGACCTTTCAACTTAGTTCTCTGTTTTAGTAATTGTTCTGTCCCACAGAAAGATTGATGAGGATATTGTAACTAATCATGGGTCTTTCCCAAATCTGTCCTTGCTTATCGATGTTAGTAGTGCCTGTAGCATGTTATTCTTGCTAAAGAGGCAATATCTGTCAACTTTGATGGCTTAATAAAAACATCTAACGCTCTATTTTTGTTAAGAATTTTTAATACATATTGTTTCTGTGTAAGCTAAAGATGGAAATAGTGAGATTGATACTTACTTGGAAGTGTGTATGTTGTAAGGGTAATAAATATTGTCAGTTAGAAAGAGAAAGCTCCATGCTGCACGTTATAAAGCGTTCGCATTTCTCTTATTTTGTTGCTTAGTTACATTTTGGCCTTTTCTTATGGACAGCAGATGGTTGATTTAACTGTGGTGATTCTTTTTGGAAGCAGAGTTAGTACGAGGGGAAAAAATTAGCAACTGAAAACAAGAAATGTAGTTATTTCTAATAAAAATAAAATTATTCTGTTTCTAAAATTATTCTGTATCAAGATAGGTCTTGATATATTGCGACCTGGCCATTAGCGCCCTATGATATATAATTCTATCTCCAATTTCTAAAATGTCTGGTCCCAGAATTTTTTACTCTTTTGCTTCTGTGTCAATCAGATTTTGATGGCCATATCTTGAAAGTTTTTTTGGACCTAGAAACAGAGATAGCAATCTTTGAAGTGAAGTTTTATAGCCAGTGCTATAAAATACTACCTTCTAGACAGTCTTGAAAACGGGGGTTTTAAAATAGGAATACGTGGCAATTGAGCTAAGGAGATGTGATCTAATCAGACTAACTTTTTTATTCAGTTGTTTATTGGTAACACTTAAGCTTCTGAAGAGCAATACGGCTCTTCTGTACGGAGACAGGTGTGCAGACTGCCTCCTCCAGGACTTGCATGGGAGACATTGCGCATCACAGTTTGACCATGAAAAATACTGGAAGTGGAGCTGCAGTGTGGATAAGCATAACAGAACTATGTTTAACCTAGCTAACTTTGATGCTGTGAAAAATAAAATGATAATGTGCAGCATTGGGTGAAACCAGAATCGCCTGGATATTTGTAGAGCAGTGTCAGCTTCCATTCCTTTTCCAAAAGAAGAGATGCTTTATTTTCAAAGTGTCAGGTAAGATACAATCGGAATTGTTTTAGAAGCAGTCTGTCATGGATTTTTTGTATTTTTGTGAAAACAGGTTTCTACTTCAATGCCACACATCTTCCCATAAGCACTAAAATGTATAACTCCGTGAATCGCAGAGGAGAAATGAATTGATTCTGTAGTCTTTCTGTAGCTTTGTAATCTGGCAGTTGTGTATTTTTTTTTCCTGAAATGAGTCATAATGTGCAAAGATGGGCATTCTGTGAACATGGAAAAGATTAATAAAAGTATCTCAGGCAATTAGGATAGAACCAACACGCCCTGCTAGTGGAGAAACTGAAAGACTGAAGTTAAAGGTTAAGTTTTGCTGAACAGAAGTTCATGTTTGAAACGATTGCAGTTAAATGCTTTAGTTTTATCAACTGACTTATCTTTCTGAAAAATCAAATGTGGCTTTTTGCACTTGTTCTTTGTAAGGACATAATTGCAAAGCTATTAGATCATCTGCAGCTCTGGCCAGTGTACTGTTGTTCCTTACAGTAGATTCTGGGGCGTTTTCCAGTCTAGCTTTTTGGCGTGAATGATGGGAGACCCTTTTCATACACTGTTTAGGAAAACAGATCCCTCTCTCTGTCTTTCTCTCTCTGTGTTTTCTTTTCTTTTTTTTCTTTTCTTTTTTTTTTGCTAATGCTACTTACACATCTATGCTGTCAGTGGTTTTGCTTGTTTGAGATGACTTTACTGATTTGAATCTCTTTAGCTATATCCCCTTGGGGAACTCTGAAAAGCAAGCTATCAATTCAAACAACACAACAGGCTTATAGGTAGCTGTCTGTAGTCAGCGTTGTTTGATCAAGTGGCTTTTGCATGAAAAGCTTTTCCTGGAAAGTCAATCTTTTCTGTTCCCAAAAGTATTTTTTTGTTCTTCTCTAAAGTTATTCCACTTTGTCTATCTGGTATTCATTTTCTTTGAACAGGATAACTGGTGAAGAAAATGTTTGTCTCTCTGAGAACGGTTTTAGGAATGCATTTATATTACTATAAGTTGTTGATTTTAAAAGCAAAAAAAAAAAGTTTATTGCTCATGGGCTGTCTAGATGGTTGTGACACTGAAAGTTAGTTTAGTCTGGAAAAATTCAAACCAATTCCCATGAATATTTTCAATATTACCATAAAATAATTGTTCTCCTTGTTTTACTTGTTCCCTGAGTAAAATCGTTTGCTGTAATATTTGGGGAAAATGAACAAAAACATGACTCAGTCATACATTTCTTAAATTAAAAAAAAAGTTTTGGTTTTAGGCTTTTTTTTTTCTTTTGCTTAATCACCAGAGCTGTTTATTTTCCATACTCTGATATAAACACAAAGGATCTGTTGAAATAACTGGAGAGAAGTACAGAAATGAGAACTTTAATAACTCGTAAAAATACATTTCCTCTTAGTCAAAAATGTCAGTCCTGACTTGAAATGATTGAATTGTTTTATCAGCAGAAATAGCACTGGTAAATAAGGATAAGGGTAAAAATAGTATTTGGATCTCATTTGGAACTCATTTTAATGGGCATTATTCATCAGAAAGAAGCAGCTGGAGTGTTTACTGGCCTGGAGGATACTCAGTGGCCTGACTGTGTGGTCACAAAGCCATTTTTTATTCCAAAGGAAACTTTAGACATACTGGGGAAAAACTCTAGCTTAGGAGGAAAAAAAAAAAAAAACACAAAGTGCAGCAATTACTTGTGGTTAATAAAGGTGATAGGTTATCAGTTTGTTGAAAGAAATGAAAAATATTTGTCAGCTTTGAACTTTGAACCGCATGACTGACACATCAGGGGAATTTTCCAGTATACCACCTAGTTTCATTCATGATAGTTTAGAACTATTTGCTTTGTCTTTACAGTGTCGGTAAGTTTAAAATAATCTGATGTGATTGACTTTACTGATATATCCAGATGGACAGTTCATAACATATCAAAAGTCTCACATAATAAAACAATTTTGGGTTATTCCAATATTTCTTTTTTTAAAAAAATGTAGAGTACTTTTGGCTCTACTACCTAGAGTTTATTCATATTTGCTGACTGAATGAAGATTGACTCTTTTGTAATGAACTTCATATTATCACCAGTTATTTCAACAGTGCTCTTGAAATAAAAATGGGTAATAGTTTCACGTGTACATAGGCTTACCTGTGGCCGTTAAATGGTCTATGTGGGGGTTTAAGTTGATAAAACCTCTGCAGCTACTTTCCCCAGGAAACTTTCACAAACACAGTTGATAATGCACACGTAAAATGGTGCTCCCTATTCTGAAAAAGCTTATGAAGCCATACTTCATGGCTTTGTGTTTCATAATCTTGATGGGACTTTTCTTCTGCATGTTTTTTTGAACCCATGCAGATGTTTCCCACACAAGCTCATGCTCAGTGAGAGCACGGTGCTGGTAAAGCTGAGCTATGAAAGCCTTGGCCCATGATGGCATGGCCAGTGGAAGGAGTGTTTAACTCCCCTCCCAAAGGGGGAGAGTTAAACAGGCCAAAAAAATGAACAGGGCAATTAGCAACTATTTTCTGTACTATTCCCATAATAATGTTCATGTGATAGCAAATCTTTCGTCAGGATTCTCCCCGAAATTAAAGTGGGAAGAAAAAAGCTGCATATAGTTAGCTTTGTGATCCGATGCTGAGTCTGCCCTTCATTTTCATGTTTTAATATATGTGGCTGTAGGGTCTTCATCGCAGAGGTGGTCCTGGTACCCTCCAGGAACAGATGAACACAAGAGGTCCTGTTACTGGGCCCCTGCTATGTAAGAGAGGGAGGAGAGAGGAGATGACACGTCGTTTAGTCACCTGAGTTACTAGTAGAAAACCCTGGAGAAATGAGGAAGGCACACGCTCCAAAGAGAGGACCAGCTGGCTGTTCAGTGTGCCCAGAGGGGCAGGAAAAAAGAAGAGCAGTAGACAGATGACTGCAAGCCTGGAAAAGTGTTAGGGAGGGCTTAGGGGAGGGAGGAGAAAAGAAACTCCTTGAGAGAAGAAAGAAGGAGGACTTAAGGCAAAAAGATCAGATGATAAACAGTTTATCAGAGAAAGGCTAAAACACTTAATTTGAATACATCAAACATTTCCGATCATTTCTGTTGCCTCACAGGAATAATTCTATTTGCTGTAGGAGTATTGCCAGCGAGGATTAAGGTCATACCATGGCTGTGCGTTTGAGTCGTGGGTATGTGGCGAATAGCTATAAGACTTTCTCTCCTTAAAGGTGTAATGTATTTTATAAAAAAGGATTAAAAGCTTCTCTTCTTATGCTGTAGACATCATTTTCCACAAGAGACTGTTTCACAATTTATGTCCGTAGTCCTCTCTGTCAGGATGTTTTCCTAACATCAAGTCAAAATTTTCTTTGACAGTTGAATTCCATTACGCTTAGTTACATCACCCTGAATAGTTCTGTTTACTTGGTGTTTACAGTCTTTAAATATCTTTTGCCTGTTACTGTTGATCCTTGGTTATTTCCCAAATTCAGTTTGTTTACTTTTTCCTTGTAAGTCTTTCCCAAATAGTCCTGTATCATCCCTGTTGCCATCCCTGTATCATTTGTGCGTGTTGGTCAGTGAATCCAACAGCTTTTCAGTAAGGAAGTGTGCAGAGCAACAAGCACTCTCTTACCTGGACTGTCTCTGTTTTTCTTTTGTATTTCTCTGATGTGGTGCACCCATGAATGCTGTCTGAATTTTGTCCTTCAGCCTTGCAGGGGCAAAGAAGATATACTTTTGAGGTTTAATCTACTATTGCACCTAAAAGTTATTTGGCATTAATACTTGTCTTACGTCCTTCTTGCTGGATTTCTTTTCCCCTACAGGTAAACTTACTTCCATTTTCCAACCGCACTCCTATTTCACTGGCTGTATCAGTATTGCTGAGTTGACTATATGCCCTTTTTATAATTTCTTTGGCCTAAATAATCCTTACAATTTTTTCAGTTAGAATTGTTTGTAAATTATTGTCATTTTATCTAAGTATCCAAATTATTTTACGTTTTGTCTCTAATTTTTTAATACCTGGCCACCTGGGACAAAACTAAGCATCCCAAAGTCTTGCTGTTTATTGTTGACATTGTGAGACATTATAGGTGAGATTCAATTTAAGACACCTACATTTAGTGTTTACATGTCTATGCAGGTACTGGCTGTCCGAGTATATTCGTCAACAGATATTTAACTAATATACTCCAAAAGGGGTGGGATTCAGTTGCCTAAATATAGGCATCCGTTGTCATTGTACATGCTGTAGGGTGCTTTGTCTTGCCTCCAGCTGCGACTTCAGACGGGTGAATGCCTCCCACAAATTTTATGCCGGTATCTTCTAGCACTGCGTAGGTGTCTGTGTGTCTAAAGCGTAGGCAGCTGAATCCAGAACTGGGTATCAGAGTCAAGGTTAACTATAATACTTTCACACCGTTTGTAGATCTGTCTGACGAGTTCATGAAAGAAGACCAAGCCCAAATAAAAATAGAAAATCTATTTGGTGGCAAATTTAATGATTTCACCCCATCTGAAAGTGAATCTACAATCCCACACTGGCTCTGTGTCCGCTTCTGTGCCTTTTACATAAGATGTTTGCCCTGGCATGGCTGGCCGTGGAGGGATCTGTCCTGCATCTCCTTCTGCTGCGGGCTTTGAGGTTAAGGAAAGAGGACATGATCTGACTTTATTGTAAAGAAAAAGAACAGACCTGAGCGTGTAGGCTGACAATCTGTACTGCGAAAGACTGTTGTCATTTAGGATGTAAGTATTTTTAAGTCAAGCGAGCAACGGGTAAGCATGCAGTTAAGGTTAATGTATGGGAACGGAAGGAAGCTACGTGAATGGATAGGAATACAGTAATATGCTGCTCCTGTTTGATAATCTGAAAAAAGGGGTAATCATGCAAAGGTAATCAGTTTTTACGGAAGCAAGTTGTCAGAATTTATAAAAGGTGTTTTCGATTTGTAAAAACAGATTATTTCTGTCAGACGTTGATTCTCATTTTCCGAAATTGTAGTGAATTTCCTATTGAGTCCTCCCTGTTGTAACTTTCCGTTTCACAAGCACACTGACAATGTGTTTGATTTGCTCTGAAATCACATTACAGGATCTACCTCTGAGCTAAATATACAGTTTCGTAACCTGAAGAGTCTTCTGCCATTCTCCATTCATCTGTTGAATTTTGAAGTTCAGTTCGTCCAGGAAATTATCCTCCTCTCTTTCTGCCCCTGCTCAGTAAGAAGGAAAAGAAAGGGAAATTGCATTTCAGAGTTCTAAAACGTGAAATAAAGTTTTATTTATATAGGCATATATCCTACAGGAAGCTGTACACACTTTTTGCTTTTTTTGGAGCAGAAATAAAAGGACAAACTTTTAAAGGCATTTTTGGCTTAGTGAATTGTTTCAGCTACCCAGGAGGCTTATAAGCAAGCTGGGAATGCTACTGCATTTACAGCTAGAGCTGATTTTGCTAGAGCTGCCTTGGGCACTAAAAGTGAAATGCTTTATATAGGATCCGTGTATGACAGAGACCTAGAATTCTGTTTACTTCTATGCTGAACATTACCAGCTGGCTCTTTGGGCATCTGCTCAGACGTCTTTTGGGAAGAAAGTACAGCAAGCACTGTCTTGTATCTAACCCAGCAGATAATTTTAGCTCTGTTCATTATTCCCAGTCAGGTCTTGACTGATAGAAGGAACAAATCAGACATACTAGTTGCCTTCCTCATAAAATGATACTGTTATCTCCTTCTTTGTACTGATGTGGAAATCTCCCCATTAAATTTTATACTTTTTTTTTTTTAAAGACCGAAGACTCGTTTAAATATGGGATTATTAATTCTTTCAGATCAAATCAAAATCAAGTTTTGGGATTCCTGAAATTAGATAGTCCATTTTATGGGATTTAGCAAATGAAATAAAGTTTCCATTTAGTTTGGGCAGCCTGTTGAAGGGTCTGAGCCAAATAGCCTCAGAATTTTACAGGGATTTTTTGTAAAGACAATTCCTTTTCTTGTTTTGCATCTTTTTGCAAAAAACCCTCCTTGTGGCTCATTTTTTCTATTGGAATCGCGTGTGTTTGGATGTGTAAGTAACCCCTCTATTCTTCAACTGCCTCCCTGTATTAAAGCGTTCCTCTAAAACACTTTGCTCACTGCAAAGATGAACACTCATTGTATGCAATCTACAAAAACAACTCGGGCATATATTTTGGGTTCTGACAGCGGTCTCTTGTTCTGCCTATGCTGATTTCTAGGAACCCTTTACTAGTCCCAGTGATTCAAATTATTTTTTTTTTACTTATATAGCCTGTTACATACCTTTAAGTTCATAGCGAAGTGCTTGGTATTCACAATGGAATTTTTATTATTTAGAGATATTATAAAACTAGCTGTATAATGTATTAGAACATCCGTTGTTTGTTAAAGCTTGTTCCTGTACCTAGAAATAAGCCTTTAAAAGTCTTGGCATTCTTTAGCTATTTTTGTGGAGACAAAGAAAAAAAAGTATGTATGTGGGTCAATTTGTTCTTTTCTTACAATGGAGAATAAAACAATACTGATGTTACATTCTCGTGTAACAATTCTAAAATAACAGCTTTTCCTTATTGCCTGAAAAAAATCACTTTGCATAAAGTCTGGAGGCTGGAAATTTCAGATACGGAGCTGAAATCTAAATCTCAAATATAAGATTGGGATAGCAGTTGTTGCAAATGTTGTGCCCTAAAATAGCAGGGTTTGACAAAAGTTTTGTAATAACTAGGAGGATTGTTTTTTTCCTTAAATATGTTGAAAATTTGTGAATATAACAT